CGTATGCTTAATAGAAAAAAGGCCTAACTCAAAAAATAAGGTATTTGAATATTAAAAGTTATGCTTGAATACAAGAGTTCAATTTTCAAATACCCTCTGTTATGTGTTAGTATTGTTTTCAGTCGTAATCGTATGTTTAATACGATTAGTATTGCTCTTATTTAAGACTCTGCAATACCAATATTACACATAAGATGCAACACAAAAAATTACATCATATTTGCATTATATTTATTTACGCAACACTACATCTTTATGGAACCACACGGTTGCTATATCGGAAGAGTTCAAAAGCGAATCGATACGAATATCGATAAGTTACGCTGATCGATACTATTGTACTGTAATGTTGGTAGTATTGCGTTTCGATTGACAATAATAAAACCTCTTTGCTGAAGTAAAGATGTGTTGCAAGTTTTTTAGTCTGTGGTTTTCGTGTGATGTAATTATTATGAGTTGAGGGATGAATGGATGATAAATGTAAAGTGTATGTTACAAAATTTTATGGTGATATTGAGAATTTCGCAATTGAAAGCAAAACCTTATAGTTAACGTTTATAAATATGTACATTGGAAAAGATACTCTGTTCTCGACAAAGAGTGATTTAGAATCGTGTCAGCCGGACGTAATGGTGTCTACCATAGAACCTGGGGTCTACGTTGAGGCCTCGTTTCGTTCATTTTGAAATACTGTTTTTTGAATAAGGGCTAAGTTATACTTAGCAAAGCTAAGTATTTTGAATACTTACTACTAGCGGTGACTAGGTTGTCGTGCAACGTGTAGCGAATTCGTTTCCTATCAAAACAATTCTTTGTGTGATCCATTAATTATTGTTCTGATTTGGATGTGTTTGTGTCCGGCAAACAATATAATTATTTTTATTTTAAGTTAACATCTTTTGACACATACGCAAACTTTCAAGAAACGTGCGTACTCCTTTTTAAAAGGCTCGGCAAGACGCCTATCCTTCCTCTAGAGCTGCGGGTGTCCATGGGCGGCGCTAATTTACCATTTTTCTCTCAGATCGTAGCGTGATGTTTTTTAGCCTATAGCACACAGGAATATTGTAGCTCTCTGTCAGTGAAAAAATTTTGGGATTTCGACCAGCAGTTCCAAAGATTACCCCCTACATAAAAACTTACAAATTTTACCTCTTTATAATATTAGTATAGATTAGGTATCAGTTTGCCTCCTATTCCAAGAAAATGATGACTGATAATAAAAAAAGTGGATGACTGATGTCAGTGCGGCCCCTTGAACATACATACTTTTGTTTGTACAAAAACAAAACATTTCTCATTTAACTTGACATCCATCTACAAACATCTTAGAGAAAATAATAAACATTCGTGAATTTATATGTCGCTACTTACAACAAGCAAAACCAATACACAGTGACTTAAAGTAAGAGCTTATACCTTTTAAGGTAATAATCGAAAGTTTTGAATGCTAGGAAATACGGAACAGACGAGTCATCCGACCAAATAGTCCACACGTCTTGTTAGCGTACTAAGATTAGATCTATGTGAAATGCATCGCAATGGTAGAGTGTAGGGAAAAGTGCAAGTTCAGTAAGGTACTGCGGCACCGGCCCTGAATCAGGCAACGCGATGGTTTTTAGTTACTAGGAATATGAGTTCTTAGAAGTCATCAATATGAAGATTATCCCTCCTTAAAAAAAAGTTCGTGGACTACTTATAACACGGTGTAATATTTTACCCTTTTTTTTGTAATATTTTTGGCAACTTCCATTAAATATCAAAGGTCTACCATTTTTGCTGTGACCACGTGGCTACTGACTTACTTAACCAGACAAATCAAGCCTCATCTGTCTTCGCATAATATCCCAACGAGGAATAGAACGCTTTGTTGTTAAAAAATTCATAAATGAAAATCGAATACGAACGAATGAAAGCCTTTAACACTTCGAACTCTTTGCATAAAATCGAAAAAAAACAAAAAAAATATATTTAAATTTTTATGCGCCCCCGTCATCAATAAATCACAAATAAATATGTACCTTAAAAAAATGATATCAAAGAAAATATTCCTTTACCTTTCTAAAACGTACATTCGTTAGGTCAAGTGTCATAATGCTATGACAACGGACGGTTACGTAAAATGAACGTGTAACAGTGATTCTAAGAGTATTCGTGGCATACATCGAGTTTATGTAAGCGACTGTACATCATATTTGTTTGGGGCAGACGAGCGGTTTTTTTGAGAATATAGTGTGCTTTACAATCATATGGTGGTTATTAATTTTGGCAAAGACTAAAAGTTAACAATTCTTTCAGTTAAAATACAAATTGTTATTTTGAAATGTTATCGTATATTTTATTCCCTTTAAGAGATCCAATAAAAATGTGGATTGCGTACATGTGTAGCTCGAGGGAACAATGATTGGTAAATAAATGTTAAGGATTTTTCGGAAAATTGCCCTTTAGTTAGAAAATATAAGACTAGATTCAAAAGTGAAAGAATTTTTTAAATCGGCCGATTGGCCATAGTTTCGTTAGTAAACAAAACAAAAGAAATAAGAAATCATATGTTTCCACTTTATAATATAAGCATAGATAGAACATTAAATTCATTAAATTTAACCGGAACCTTGAAAACGTGGTTCGAGTTCTCAGGGAAGAAGGTACGAGATTTTGTGAAATGCAGCGTAAGGGCAAGAAGTCGAAGCTTTCGGAAGAGACTTTAGGGCTTATGAAGAGACGACGTGAAAACCCACCCGTCACTTCGTCAGAGAAGCGGGCTCTAAACCGAGAGATTAGCAAACACGTGCGACACGATCTCCGGTGCTCGAATACCCTTGCAATCGAGAGAGCGATCGAGCAAAACCGGGGGCCAAAAGTGTTCGTACAATCTCTTGGAAGAAGCCACCTGACGAAGTTGACCACAGCAAGTGGAGAAGTCGTTGTCTCGAAGCCGGCAGTTCTTTCGGAAGTAGAAAACTTCTACGGCCGGTTATACGCTTCGCATGCATCTCGACCTGACCCCGGAAATGAGGACTCTAGAGCCACTTTAATACGCCATTACACCGAAGACCTGCCAGAAGTCAGCATTGACGAAATCGAGATCGCTCTTGGACAGCTTAAAAATGGAAAAGCCCCTGGAGAGGATGGCGTTACGACAGAACTTCTAAAAGCAGGCAGCAAACCGGTACTCAGGGAGCTGCAAAAGCTATTTAACGCTGTCCTGTTTGAAGGGAGAACTCCAGAGGCGTGGAGTCGGAGTGTGGTCGTCTTGTTCTTCAAAAAGGGTGACAAAACCCTACTGAAGAATTATCGACCCATTTCCCTTTTAAGCCACGTCTATAAGCTGTTCTCGAGAGTGATCACGAACCGCCTTGCGCGAAGACTTGACGAATTCCAACCACCGGAGCAGGCTGGGTTTCGGAGCGGATACGGCACCATAGACCACATCCACACAGTGCGGCAGATTATACAGAAGACTGAGGAGTATAATCAGCCCCTGTGCCTAGCATTTGTGGACTATGAGAAAGCCTTTGACTCGGTCGAAATCTGGGCTGTTCTGGAGTCCCTGCAGCGATGCCAAGTAGATTGGCGATACATCCAAGTGATGAGATGTCTCTACGAGGCCGCCACCATGTCCGTCCAAGTACAGGATCAGCAAACAAGGCCGATACCGTTGCATCGAGGTGTGAGACAAGGGGATGTTATCTCCCCGAAATTGTTCACAAATGCAATGGAGGATATGTTCAAGACGCTGAACTGGAAAGGACGCGGCATCAACATAAATGGCGAGTACATCTCTCACTTGCGATTTGCAGACGACATCGTCATCGTAGCAGAAACGCTGCAGGACCTACAACGGATGCTGAATGACCTGGCTGACTCTTCTATACGCATCGGCCTACGGATGAACTTGGATAAAACCAAGGTCATGTTCAATGAACATGTACTACCGGAACCGATTGCAGTACACGGCGCTGTTCTCGAAGTCGTTCAAAAATATGTATACCTCGGGCAGACATTGCAGATGGGTAGAAACAACTTCGAGAACGAGGTGAATAGAAGAATTCAGCTAGGTTGGGCAGCATATGGAAAGCTGCGTCAAGTCTTCACGTCGTCGATCCCACAGTGCCTAAAGACGAAAGTCTTCAATCAGTGCGTCCTACCTGTCATGACATACGGAGCCGAAACGTGGACACTGACGGTGCGGCTGGTTCACAAGCTAAAAGTCACTCAGCGAGCTATGGAGAGGGCTATGCTCGGCGTTTCTCTGCGAGATCGAATCAGAAACGAGGTGATCCGGCAGAGAACCAAGGTAATCGACATAGCCCACCGGATTAGCAAGCTGAAATGGCAGTGGGCTGGCCATATTAGCCGAAGAACCGATGACCGTTGGAGTAGACGAGTTCTTGAGTGGAGACCGCGTCTCGGCAAACGTAATGTAGGACGTCCTCAGGCAAGGTGGAGTGATGATTTGCGCAAGATGGCTGGCAGGAGCTGGATGCGAGTGGCCGAAGATCGATCCCAGTGGCGTGCAATAGGAGAGGCCTATGTCCAGCAGTGGACTGAAAAGGGCTGATGATGATGATGATGATGATAGGTTCAGTGTACACATAGTACACATCACGCCTAAGTAGACCCGGTATAACAATTTGAGCACCACACAAAAGGCTTTTTCTGTGCGGGAATCCAATCTGCGACACGTTGCACACACATCAGTCAGTTATTCAGACACTACGCCAACCGTGCTACCGTCAACAAACAGTCAACAGGTTTTATATATTTTCTAAGTTTATTTAACCTTTCAGTCGTTGTAATTAGAGACACAGTAGAGGAACAAGAGGTGAGCGAACGCCGGCGTTCACTTGGGGTTTGGTGAATTAGACAGCAAAACCACCCAAAATGTAGAGATTATAGCAAATCTTAATTATGCAGTGAAGGCTGACAGTCCAGCTGTGAACTTCCTTTATAATGATAAGAAATACAAAATATTTATATATTGTCTCCTTTTTTTACAGATGGTGCGCGTATGCGCTGTATTGGCGTTATGCGCGCTAGTCGCGTGCGCCGGCGCATCCGAGAGCTCCTCTCGTTTCCGTAAGTATTATTATTATTCCTAATTTAAATAATCGCCATCTTTATTACGCATTGCGGATTTAATTTATGTAATATGCTAATTATGTTGAGCACTTTTATAATTATAATAAAATTAAATTAATAGAGCATATAATATGTTAGGTATGAAAGTGTGGTAGGTTATGTCTTTTTGGTTGAGTTCTTGTGAATGTGACTGCCGAGTTAGAGTCGGATTTTTAACTGAAGAAGTGTTTAAGATGTCGGTATTTGTGCCTTGCGTAACAAAGAAGACATAATTCTGAAGTAGGTATCACTTTACCTATAATTTTACTGAAAAGCAGGAATGAGATTGTTTAAAATTCGGAGTAATTGCGTATAACGAGGCTACTTGAATATGACATACTTACATGAATGTGGTGGTGGCCCGGAGGTTAAGGAGCCCGCTCCTCATGTATGAGGGTTTGAGTTCGAAACCTGGCAAGTAGGTACCACTGGTGGTACCAATGTGACTTTTTCCGAGTTATATGTACTTTCTATGATTATTTAGACACCACTGACATACGGTGAAGGAAAACATCGTGAGGAAACCTGGACTTATAATTTCTAATTATAAGTTTGAAATCGCCAACCCGCATTGAGCAAACGTGGTGATTAATGCTCTAACCTTCTCCGTATGAGAAGAGGCCTTTGCTCAGCAGTGGGCACTTATAGGCTGATGATGATGATGCGGCTACTTGAAAGATCGCTCATAAAGATTCATTGAGAATGCATGACAAATCATCGAACACACCTTCAAATATGGATAGGAGTGAATAAAAGTACCGCTCCCCTTATTGTGTTATTATATGCATAGAAAATGCCAACTGGTGCTTCATAAGCTGAAAAGAAGTGAACATTATCAACTAAAACACGATTTCTGCTAAAAAGTCAAACATGACTTCTGCTAAAAAGTATATTAACGCCATCTGCCATCTAGGAGCGGTTGAAACTAAATTCTCTGTTAGGTATCGTACACCAACAGTGCGCGTGGAATAGCGACTTCCTGCAGATTTTTGGTATAAAAACTATCCTATGTCCTTTCTCGAGTTCCAAACTATGTCTGTACCATATTTCACAGAAATCAGTTCAGTAGTTTAGGCGTGAAGAAAAGACAGACAGACAGCTAGAGTTACTTTTGCATTTATAATATTAGTTTGGATAGCAGTTTGGTCACATTGTCTAGAGTTAGTTTTAAGAAATATCTACCTAGGTCCAATGGAAACAAAAGATAGACAATGGACCTATAGTATTAGTGGACAATACTGGAAGTGTTAAAACTGCGTAAGACGTTAAGCAAACAAATATGTGTTGTTATGCGTTTTGCACATGTCCAGTATTTATGTCATGTTTCTATGCACTTATTGTTTACATTGTATTACAGTGTGCGCGCCAAGTCGTGTAGGGCTACCGTTAGGTAGTAGATGTTGAAAATGACCAATCTTCACTATATAGTATACCTAAAACAAAGTCGCTTTCTCTGTCCCTATATCACTATGTATGCATAAATCTTGAAAATAGCGGAACGGATTTTGATGCGTTTTTTAATAGATAGAGTGATTGAAAAAGAAGGTTTATATGTGTAATGACATCCATTAAATAGTTGTTTAGTATCAGCATTGTAGCCGTGCAAAGCCCGGATAGTTCACTAGTACTTACTTAAATATTTGAAGGAGACTTTTTCAAATAAGAAGTCTGAAAGAAATAAGAAGAAGTAAGGCATGTATATTTAGCAAAAGTAATTTTCGTAAAAATTCGTAATTAAATTGAAACAATGAAACAATTAATTTATTTCTATAATGTATAAATGTGAATAAGCCATAAAACAGCTGTTTTACACATCAAAATTATATGTAAAAAAACTAGATGAAGCCATTGTCTGAACCTCCAAAAATGCCGACAATGCCGCCAAATCCTCTGGTGTTTCCGGTTTCTATGGACGATGCTGATCAGGTGACTCCTCGTTTGCCACTTCCATAAACAATATAAGTCTTGATAATCTCTTACCTCGGCAGTTGCAGTCAATCGAACAAATAGAAAAATAAGGGAAAAATACAATTTTTTTTTAATATTTAAATTAATTGGCTACACCTAATATATCTCGCCGATTTCATTATACCTAGTGATAAAAACAAAAGAAAAATGAAACATTCAATTACCAAAGTATGGTAGCCCTACATACAAATTGCTAAACATTTCCTAAAGCCACATTATAGACAACAGAGTAGGTAGCTTACATTTTATGCGTTCCTGGTACCTGGGACTGACAATTGGTTTCAGCACTTTCACATTTGCTTGCTAATTATGTAATTTACGTACATATAAGAGCTTAAATATCACATATTATTGCCTAAGATTGGTAACTTAGGGTTCAAATTGCTATAAATTAAAAAAAAATATGGCATAGGTCGGCAAATGAGCTGAAGGATTACCTGATGGTAAGCAATCGGTGCCGCTCATGGACACTTGTAATACCAAAGGAGTACTACAAGTGCGTTGCCGACCTCTTCTGAGTTATTAGGGATTTAAGAATAGGGGATTTGAGGATTGAGGACGGAGTCAGCGAAACACAAAACTGTTGCCTTTGCCGGTATTCAATGAAACTGCAATGCAATAAGATAAATACTCTTGTGGAGATTTGGGCAAAGCTTCTTACGTACATGCAAGGCACACCTATAATCCAGACTATACTATTAAAGATACTAACTTTAGTCTTCAAAATAGTATTTTGTATTATACACCTCAAAAAAAAACCTTTAAAAATGAAAGGCACGATCTTACATAATACCCCATTCAAATAAGAATCCACACAGATGTACAATATTTTTTTTACAAAATAAACTCATGCATAACAAAATCGAAAATACATAATGCAAAATAATCGATTTATAATGCTTAAAATCGTTTTGCACGAAATAGAAAACGGATACCAAATATAGCCTTGGCTATAATAAAAGTTGTTGAGAAAAAGTCATACAAGACAAGACTCATACACGTCTCATACAAACCCAATACAATAGGTAAACAATGTCAGTTTTGGGGAGTCGTTATGTAATTGGTAATCGCGTGAATTGTACACCGATTGTCCGATTACAAAAACGGACAATATTGTCAAAGCTCAATAGTGTTTTGTTTATTTTTGCATTTGTAAAAGATAATTATGAAGTGTTAGTAATAAAAAATTAAAAAATATATGAAACTTTGTGAAACGGTAATTTTAAATACCCCTTGTAATTTTTGTTGGCAAAATTGGTCCACACGTATATTGATAGATAGTTCATAATAAATAAAAATCTTTGCTGATGAAGTTTATACAGTTACAGATTTTAAATTTTCCTCAATTAGATAAGCCATATCGAGATACACACTATGCATTTAAAAAAAATAAAAAATGCTATTAATTCGAAGTATAAAGGGTAGAAAAAGTTGATATAAAATTTAATACAACTAATTATTACTAGGTTAATAAAATTATAATATTTTTCGAACGTACACACCAGAACGACCATTTTATTGTTTAATTTTTAATAAAGTTTAGAAATCGAAGTTCGTGATTTATATTTATTTTATTTTTATTTAGAAACTTCTCGTCAAAAATTTGCAAAATCAATTTTTTTATTTTTGGTTAGATGTAAATACATACTATATGTAAATAGGTATAATTTTTTTTCTCCCTAATTGTAAATATTTTTAATTGTACATAAAATATGCATGTTAGTATATAAGTATTAATTTTAAGTTTTATTTCATTGTATATTTTGTATAGAAATTAAAATGTAAATAATTATTTGTAGTTAGAATTATTTCTTTCAAATTTGGAACTATTTCTTTTTTGCTCCTCATTTATTGGAGGAAAACTTTCCCCTTTTTTTCTGTTAGTATCTGGTTTTCTATTAGCCCAGAATTTTCCACCAAAACAGGGTTTATACAAGTATCTATGTAAATACTCTTCATGATCTTTTTTTTCATTAAGGCCCAGTTAATTTTTTTTTCAAAATCGGTCTTAAATAATAATACACATATAAACATATTTCACTCATATGAAAGTTGTTCATAGGGCCTCTGCGTGTTGGCTTTGTCCCTTTGTACGCCTTCTGAAGGTCCGGGACTCTATGGTTCCTTAAATAGAAGCGAATATACTTACAGATAATAATTATTTTCGCCTGTTTATTAATAGATAAACCTCTTTCTGAATATACATGCATATTGTCACTAGCGTAAACCCTGTTCCTTTTTATTATTATATCGTGTATCTATCTTGAATATATGTAGATTAATTGAAATATGTTTTACAGAACCAAGAAAACGTAAGACTGGTACGTACACACAATACCTACATATAAACCTTTATGTGTTATCTTCCGTTTTGGGTACATCACTGATCATATTTAATCATATTCTAAACATTATTTTCAAAGTTCAAAAATCACTCTGAAAGATGTCGAGATGTTAAAAAAATATTATTTTTTGTATTATTTAAATTGCAAAATCTTTTTATATTATTTGCATAAAGTTATTGCTCGTGTATACTATTAAATAATAGTAATACGATTATACCATTTTAATAAAATATTATCTTAATTTTTGGTAATAATATGTTTTGATCGTAGTGTTGACCCAAAATACGTTTAATATAACAATTTGCCACACTCACACAGTCCTTTGCTAGTAAACCATTATAATAATATATTATATTTAAGTATCTATTTAATTATTTAAAAAAAAGTAAAAGCTATATATGAGAACAAAATGTATGGAGCTTATTATTTAAAATATATGTAGTAAGTTCCTCATGATGTTTTCCTTCACCGTATGTCAGTGGTGTCTAAATAATCATGGAAAGTACCTACATATAACTCGGAAAAAATGTACATTGATACTTGTTAAGTTTCGAACCCTCATTGCAAATGCAGCTTTAATATCAGTTACTTATAATTGACTAGCGGTCGCCCGCTACTCCGCCGGCGTGGTTGTCGATTTTACACTTTTTCAAGATGTTTTTTTTTAATTAAAAGTTCTTTACGTACCAAACTCTGGACTTCCACGAATAATTCAAGACCATAATTAGCCAAATCGGTTTCAAAGGCATTGTTGAATTATAACATTACAACGAAAAGTGGCATTGATTTTTATATAATTATGTATATGTATAGATTATTGGCATATAACAAGGTTTACTAGCAAAGGAGATTAATCACATTCACTCCACGCTTCTAGAACTCACTTCTTTATGTTTTTTTAACTATTCTTCTTTTATCTTCTTTACACTTCTACACTCACATAGCTTTGCCCGCAGCACCAGCGTGGCACAACTTGTTAATTTTTCTTTCAATTGAACAAAACTTGTTGATATTATTTTGTTCTTTGGATTTATGAGAAAATGTGTCATGACATCTTTTATTTTGTTTAAAGGGGAATGTGTACTACCCGTGCGCGATAAGTTGAGACTTGAGCGCGGTGACGTCACATTGGCGTGTTTGCACCGCCCGCAAAAAAGCGAACTTAGCAAGCAGCCGCCCGCGGCTTCGTCTTTGTTTTTTTTAACCTAATTTATTATGTTAGTATGTTACTCAGGGAGGACGCTGCCATTTATCTAATCTTTTTTACACTATTCGAATATAAAATAGGACACTAGGTATTTAATTATGTATCACCGAAAGTGTTGACTATGGTTTTATAATGAATAAAAATACAATGTTTAAGTTTATACATTTATTTTATCTATTATTTACATTTGTTGTTCTTCGTCCTCAGTCTCACTATAATCACTTGACGAAGAGGTATCCGATAAATTTACAATTAATTGCGATTCATTTGTCTCTTGTAGGAGGTCATCATCCCAATACTTTTGTCGAAGCCTGTCCACATGGTTGACTTCTTTTTTCCAGTCACTCTCACTTATGCTGGTAATTGCATCTCTCGTTAATTTTTCTATTTCCCTTTCAGACTGGTTGATATTTTTATCGGCTACTCTTTGCTTGACCAAATTCCAAATATATTCGATTGGATTGAGTTGTCAATAGGTAAACAAAACTGTTTGTTCCGTTTTTCGTTTTCAAAAAACTCTAACACTTTTAGCACGAGGTTTCTTTCTCCGCTATGCAAAGTTTTACCCTTCATAATGATAACAAAAACACTTAACAAGAACTATAACAACAAAAAAATAACACAAACGAAAAGTAAAAAAATTTCAGAGCGGTACGTGACGTAGGCCAGTTAAAAAAGGTATACCTAACAGGTAAAAAAGGTATAGGTAAACCTTTTGTATCTGTTCTGTGAGACTAAACAATAGTGATGCGAACGGTACAATACGGGCGCCAACGGGGAAGTGCAGGGGAAGCGGGCGGGGAGTCGCATTCCTAGCAGGTCTCAACTTATCGCGCACGAGTAGTATAATGCACATATTGTGGATTAACTCAAATATTTATTCAGGTAATAAAGGGCTAGCTTATTGCCACATAAATAGAACAATCCCATATTCTATGCTACTTATTATTAAACGAAAATAAGAAATTCATTTATCTTATTGTTTAAACAGCAATATGTAGTGTTTTAATTCAGTATAAAAAGCCTAAAAATTTTATATCACCTAATAATTTGTACCTAAATTCATTGTAAATTCAATGATCTTAGTATACCTTGTTATATTATTGATTTAAATTTATTTATAAAACACGGAGATCAATAAAATTGAAAAGAAGTATCATTTATACAAAATTCTTCTTTTTTCTTTTTTTTTTGCACCACACTACGATTTTATCCTGTGTCGCAGGTCCGGTTACAGACATACAATATCACATGCTCATGACCCGGACCCGGAACAACAATTTGTGGATCACACAAAGAGTAAAGAGTTGTTCCGTGCGGGAATCGAACCCGCGACACGTTGCAAGGTCTTCAGATTTATCATTACCTACGCATAAAACACAAAACCGTGCAAACAAAAAATTTTGCGACGCCAAGCAAAGTCAAAAATCATTTATTCCAATTAGGCACTTTTGAACGTCAACGCCAACTCGACAGGTGATATAATTCGATTATAATTCAAATTGTCTACGCCATCCTCATTTATACGGTACATACACATTATTATTTCTAATCGTCATATTTATATACCTAATTAATTCATCATACTTTCCACCTGTCTTCACTTTCTATTTTTTTTTCTTTTTCTATATTAATGTCAGATTTGAACGGTCTAATGAGTTTAAAAACTTTTTGCTTTGTTTTTTGTCGATTAAGTATTTTAAATTCAAACTCCTTGGAATGATTTGAATTTTTGACAGATTTCATGCTAACGATTTTGGCTATGAATCATGTTCGATATTTGAATTTTGTAGTGACTCAATTTTGGCATTGGCTTTACTATAGGGATGGGTTTTTGATTGTGGCAATAGGTTCTTCTTTTATTACAATAAAATTAGGCTTATGAGCAAATGAGTGAGATCCTTTACCTACTCGATTTCGGTTCTTAATATTTTCTTTGTGTAATATTGCTTTGGATCTTTCATCATAAACTTATTTCAATGCAAATGGTTTTAGACCGTTTTATTGTAGGTACATTATTTTATTTCTCATTTTTTTTGGTGCGAAAGCCGTTATTAAATTGGTGTTAATAGGTAGCTCGTATATTTACATGAATCATTTTATTTCATAAATGTGTTTCTGTCAGTCGATCTTTCCTTTTTTTTCTTTTACTTACTTTTAAGTTTGGAATGTGACTATTTGTATTCTTATAATTAAGTTCTTTTTTTTCTTGTCATTGGTACTCTTTTGTCTTTTGTAGCTAGATTTAATCTTTTCTTTCTGTGTCTTGTAGTTTTATATGCTTATAGTTTCTCTGTAGTTGCTTGTTAATTTTACTTGGTTTCTTTTTAGAACTACTAATAATTTACTGCCGTACTCAGAAATATTAATTGATGACTTATCGTATTGTTTTCAGTACCGATATTAGTTTGAATAGTAAAATACTGGGTTGAGTTTTTATGAAATGACTCTGAGGACGACAGTTATGTTTTAATTTTTCTTTGATTAATATACTTAATTGTAATTTTAATACTGTATCTGTATTATGTAACATCTTACTGTTTTCTTTGTTTGGACAAGACTTGTTTTTGTTATGATTGATGCAATTTCTCTTTTTTTTCTGTATTGTATGTTTTGGAAACCAATTTTTATTAAAATATGCACAAATTCTTTAAGATAAAGATTGTAGAATTTTTTCGTAAGTTACTTTCTTTAATAATTATTTGTCATTTGATGATATGCAAAGTATGCATGCTTTGACGACATTCAGACAAGTCTTGACCAACTTAATACCTAATTGTTCTACTACTTCTCCATCTTCTCCTGTCAACTTCTTCAAGACCTGACCTTCCAAGAACATCTAACTGGTAGAAAGTAGTTGGTGGAGGAACCCAAACACTTGGATGCTGATGAAGACCATGGTTTCCAGCGGAGCTGCAGGCTGATAAGCAGATGGAAGTGGATGATATGGTGAACAATCTACTGCAATGGATCCAGGGCCTTTACCAACAGAAGAACAGGAAAGGTGCAGATTAGTGTTAAGGTCTAGACTAAGATTAGTTTTAAGTGATATAGGAATTTTGGGAAAGATTTTGTAGGATGCAATTTTTTATATTCTTTTCTGATCACTTGATGGACTTAAAGGAATATTATTATTGAATAACCTGAGTTAAAGTCGTAGGTAGGTCTTTAAACACAAGATCACAAATCACTTTTTCCAGCATAGCACTAGCACACTTGGGTAGCAGACACTAAAACTTACATTTTTAGAATCTTAACTAATATTTTCCTCATATGCTTTCAGCTCGTCAGTACTTCGGAGGGAAACCAGAGAAACCGAGGCCCTTTGAACCGGCAAACAATTATCTTCCACCTGCGACTGGTTATCCAGCTGCTGGAACCCGCCCATCTCCAAGCTACAATGAGGGACCTTCACCAAGCCCCACATACCAGCCGAGCCAGCCGTCATACCAGCCTAGCGAGACCTACCAACCACCTGAACAGTCTTACCAGTCTAGCTACAAACCTAGTCTTCCTACACAACCAGCTTATCAACCATCACAGCCGTCCTACCAACCATCCCAACCTTCTTATTCTCCTAGCCCATCAACTCCTAGCTACCAACCAAGTCCATCTTCCCCATCTTATCAACCATCTCAACCAGAGCAACCATCTCCAAGTTACCCATCTTCTCCTAGTTACCAACCCTCACAACCATCCCAACCTAACTACGATTATTCGAAACCAAGTTACCAACAGAGCCAGTCCGACCAAACCACGCAATCAATCTACGTGTCATCTGAAACTGGTAGCGTCAACACTGGTTCTAGTTCCATTTCCAGTTCTGGTTCAAGTTCTGATTCTAGCAGTATTAGCGGTTCGATCTCTCAAACAACACAAACTCAAGTGCAGGTTGACGATGAAGACCGTCATCCTCCCCACATCCACGAAATCTCCGTCGATTGCGGCAAAGAAATGATGACCATCAACATCGAATTCAACAAAGTATACAACGGTCTCATCTATTCCCAAGATCACTACAACGAACCCGAATGCGTCTACGTTAGAGAGAACTCCAACCAGGCTAAATTCTCCTTCACAGTCAGTCTGAACACTTGTGGCACCAGATTCTACAGTGACTTCGAAAATGAAGGTCAAGCGTACTTAGAAAATGTTCTTGTTCTCCAAAACGAAGTCGGCATTCAAGAGGTGTGGGATCACATAAGAAGAGTCAGGTGTCTTTGGGAAGGTAACTTGAAGAAGCAGCTGGTCCACTCCCTCAGTGTCGGTATGTTGAACCAGATTACAAGCAACTTCAGTGGAGACACTGCTATGGCTAGATTGGACATCCAAACTGGAAGAGGACCTTTCGCTCCTGAAGCCAATGGCTTAGTCAAGATCGGAGAAACCATGACTTTAGTCGTATCAGTAACTGGTGACGCTGGATTCGACATCCTTGTCAGGGAATGTATTGCTAGAGATTCAGAGAGCCGTAATGTTGTTCCTTTGACTGATAGCAACGGTTGTGTTCTGAAGCCCAAGGTCTTCGGAGCCTTCCAGAAGACGAGAGATACTGGAAACACTGGAGCATCAATCATCGCATTTGCTTTCTTCAACGCTTTTAAATTCCCCGATGAAATGGACCTGATCATTCAGTGTGAAGTAGAACTTTGCAAGACTGACTGTGATGTGTGCCCTAACCCTGGAAGTATTGAGCCTAGGAGAAGGCGACGAGACATTATCCATATTGGAAACAGCACGAAGGAACCTTCCACGATTATTGGTAAAGGATTGAGGGTCGTTTTAGCTGAAGATCTTCCAGAGGCGACAGGGTTCTGTCTTTCACCCCCTGCTGCCTTATGGGGTGGGTCTCTAGTACTCATCTCTTCTTTGATGAGCAGTATCCTCGTCTCATACTGTTGGCAGAAGTCCCGAGGATCAGCTAAGTTTTCGTAAAGTATTATAACGTATGTTTTATTTATAGACATACTCGAATAAATCGGGTGCTGAAAACTCCATTATACCATTGTTAATATTCCATAGTGTAAGTATTTAAAAAGAACAGTTTTTTGAAGAAAATATTCTTAGGAAGGACTTTCAAGCTTGTTTTCTTATTTACATCACAAAATGATCCCACATATAACCAGTTGTTTCACCTTTTGAATATTATTAAGTTTTTCTACTAATGTTATCTTGAAGTTATGATGTTTGTAGAGGCAGAAAATCTTAAAACATAATTATTTAAGCTATCCAATTTTCATTCTTGCTACCCATTATTGCAACATGGAGCGTTGAAGCACCAAAAGTTTTATCAAATTATAATGACGTTAGGCCTAAGAATGGATTGCCTACATGTGAGTCTGCTATGGGAAAATCTGCAGTATTCCATACATTTGATTGGTGCGTGAGATAGCGTCTTGCGCTATTCAGTTTTTTGTATCCATTCTTTTTGTCGTCATTGTCTTCCGTCAATAAAATTGCGAGGCTTATTCCATTTTGTGGAGACGTCTATATGTTTTGATGTATCTATGAGTTGCTTTGCCGTTGCCAGTTCTATCGATATGAGTTTTGCTTTAAAATATTTTGGCAATATATGTCTGTTAAGTTCGATTTTGTTCGGAAAAGCTCTAAAATTTGAAATAGGTTAAAGATGGTCACCTTTTTATCATCGAAATGTATATTGCAGATATCTATTTATGTAATCAAATGCGTTAAATATTCAAGTACTAAAACCAACACTGCCAATTATCGCTATATACATAAGTTATTCGTTCACCTAAGAGGTGCATCTGTAAGCGACAAAAACCTCCTCTTTCTTTCTTTATGAACAAAGAAAACTACGAAAAAGTATTTTTAGATTATCAACTTTATCTTATCTAAGTGTAGTTATAAAATACAATGTAACTATAATAACAATATTTTAATTAAGTTATTAATTCTATTTTGTAAATATTAGAATTAAGATTTTTGTAAGTATTAAAATGTATTTAAAAAAAAGTGTTTTTTGTTTTATTTGTATCTTTTCGCGTCAAGTGGATATGTACTGAACTCCTTAGGGTTTCTAGCTGCTTCTTTGGTGGGAGTTGCCTCAAGCAAATACAGAACATTAGGTAACCATTTATTTCAATTAGATCCTTACAGGCACTTTTGAACGTCAAATGAAAGATTTTTAGTCTGACGGTGTAAGTTGGTCGGTCAGTCCTCTTAGTGAAGCTATTTGCTCGTTTTAAAGTGTATATTCCGATGGAAAAGAAAGAGCAACTTTTTTTAATTCAGTTTCATATACAGATTCTTTGCTTTGGTACATTGTTTAGTTGGTTCGATTAATGTGAGAACAAGTCCACTAGTACCTACTTTAACCGACATCTGAATCCCCCTTACACCACCGTGACGACTGCATCCACACAATTATAAAGACAGGTTTAAAGCATATATTAATTGCATTCATTGTGTTAGGCCCCTTTGCGCTCGCTGAGATTTTGAAGAGAAATAGTCGCATTGTAATATCTCTTTAGTAGCGCGTTGTAGTATCTTCATAATAAATAAATTAAACATTTAAAAAAGCCACGAAAAAAGGGACTTTTTATAGGTATTTTGAATTGCTAAGAGCACTCTCGATTAAGTCATCCACATACCCTTTCAGTGCGCTCTCATTTGAGACCCCACTTGAGTATATTTGCAGACCTTCAGTCATCCTTCTCCACTTACACCCCCACAATTTCTAAACGACTCAACCGATTTTCAACGAACATGTCTAAGAACACTTGCACGTAAATCACTTTTAATACAAAAAAAAAAAACTAAATTGAAATCGCTTTATCCGTTCAGGCTCCAGGATGCCACAGACAGATACGTCAAACTTATAACACCCCTCTCTTTCCGTCGCGGTTAAAAAACCGTGCAGGCAACCTTATTGCTAGAATACAAGCGAAGTGTCTGGAAACTGCTACTTACAATGACATAACCCAATTAGTTCTATGAAAGACTACTTTGTACCGAATTTAAATTTATCACTTCTCGATGCATGTGTGAATAAAGGAGTTAATTATGATCAGCAATAACAAAACTATTGTTTTGTCTTATTGTAGCTAGGCCAACAGTGTAACGCTTTATGACAGTGCAAGGTAGGGTCATAGGCTGTGTTATCTTATCATTATGTATCGAAGATAGTGTGAAGAACACTGCATATTACTAGTTTATTAGTTTGACTGACTGTGTCTTCGGTACGAGAATGAGTTTGATGATAACTTCGATAGATGGCGCTGATAACAAAAACAAATTTTAACGGTGGAAACAAATTTTAACGGACAAAAGTAACAGTTAGGCGTATACATATGTACAACTGTAGAATCGGATCACCCAGATCCCTAACAGAACCCAGATGACCAAACTCTGCTATTTTTAGATAACTGCATAGATATAGATATACGGGACCTTAATGGGCAGTAGTAATGAGGGTTACTACATGAATAGATGGATTTTTATGAAGTTTGAGGGGAGTGTCAGACGCTTGCGTACTAGAAACGCTCCCGTTCTTTCACTGCTCCGAGCCGGACCCGCGGTATTGTGGTCGCCTGATTGTAAGTAAACAGCCGTCCATGAACACTAGCAACAAAGAAAAATCACAAAGGAGATTTTAGAGTAAGTATAAAGGTTTTTGTGTTAGGCATTTTGGGGCATTGGATTATTCCGGTAACTTCAGGTATGTGGCAAAACACAGCCCAGTTGTCTCACGTCGGCTTTCTGCGACGACGCCTTACAAATCGAGTCAGTGCCTTCGTATCGAGGCAAGGCTTTCCCACCTTTGTACCAGCCAACGAAGCCCCAACTCCTAAACTCGAAGAATGCTCTTAATATTTAAACAGACACCTAAACGACAACACATCACACCTAATCTTTATAAGAAAATAAAAATATTAACATTAAACATAGCTTAAATCTATTTAAAGCCTTTTGTTTGTAGATAATTAGTTAATTATATTTCCTGACGTGGAGCTGAATGATAAGTAGTTTGGTGTAATTTGTTTTGTGTTTATGAAATGTACTTATGGTCTTATGGACTTTGATTTTGTGTTGATTATATTATTGTTACTTATCTTCGAAGCTGAGACTCGGCTATGTCCAAATATTGCGACCAGCTACAGAAACAATATTATGAAAGAAAAAAGAAAAACTATTTATTTGATGAAGAAACTTCTTCATGTTATACATAAATTAAATATTATAAAAAATCTAAAGGCCATATCAAAATTAACTTAAAAAAGAGAGAAAAAGAGCAACAAATTATACAAACCGATTATAAATAAACAGAATTTTATTGATGGTTTTCTAAAATGTTCCCCCCGTGAGATGGCAGCGCTGTAACTTCAGGTCCAACTACCTGTCAAAACACATACACCATTTATATTTTTCGATAATTTTTTGGTTTATTTATTCTTAAAAACTTTAGAAACGTAATATTGTTTTTTAAAATGCCACAGTGCAGTTGTTCAGTGCCTATGTGTGCAAATAAAAAATGAGCACATAAGTTTCCTACAGAAGATAAAAGCCTATTAAAACAGTGGCTTGTGGCCATAATAAAATCAATAACACTTCCAAATACATAAAATTTTACTAAAATAATAATACGTTCGGTAAGAATCTGTGCTATCTGACAGCTGTTTGGACCTGACGCATACGAAGCGCCGCCTGGCGGCTGGAAAGTATCGAAAACCCTAATTGTCACGCTCATTGTGCATAGAGATGTAACCTTAGCAAAATGCTAAATACCCCAAACTGACTTTCAGGTACCCTGGTTCACTGAATTACAAATGACGACGCGCCTAAAAATATACTTGATCATTAAAAATAATAATAATACTGATGTTCAGCCGGGGTTGCGGGGTAAGCGCAATGCAAACCTCGGCCTAGAGCAGGAGAAGGCACAGGGGGGTTATTAGTCAGTAAAAGTCTGACACTACCTCCAAGTTATTTGATGATTTTCCCCTTACCAAAAAAAATAAACATTACACTTAATACCTCAAGGGACAGTAGTCAGAATGAGATGGTTTTTAACCCTATACGTATTGAGTATTGAAAGTGACACTCTTTCACAGCGGAGCAAGAACTATTATTTGGCGATATTTATCACAAAACTCTTTAGGTACTGAAGAGATCTAGATTCAGTGATACTCGTAGCTACTATGAGTAAGAATTTCGACAATCTATAGAATAAAACACTCAACCTGGCGATCAGACCAACATTATCAAAAATAGTACCTACATAATATAATATTTACTGCTATCCCTCGAGCCATAGATAGGACACAGATTGCTCGATCGCTGTCAGTTACTGATAATCGCGAGAATCGAATGAAAATGAAATTACATTTATTTCTGTTAAATAAACTGTAATATTGCACTTTTACACAATCATCATCATCAACCTACAAGTGCCTACTGGTGAGGAAGGGCCTCTTCTAATATGGAGAAGGATTAAACATTAAGCATGATTGCTCAAGGTGGATTGGTGATTTGAAACGTATATAGTTTGTGGGACAACCGCAATGATGTCAATTTATTCAGACGTCACTAAAATTGCTGTGATAATTTTAACAAAAGTTTTCGATTTGGTTTTTTGTCCAGGCTATGGTGCAGAGCCGGAGGAACTGGAGAACAGAGAATATGAGCGAAACAACCCTTTTCTCGCCTTTGCCACAATGCAGGAGACACTCCAAAGTCCAAACGCTCAACAATCTCCGGCCATCGTAAATGTGGGTCTGCGATCGACTAGTATGGGGAGCCCGCCTCAAAGAGCCAGTATACCACCACAGATGGGGTCCACGAAGGCCAAATTCCATCCTGGGTTACAATCATGTAGTACGGAAGCCTTTCTTGGTTGAGGAGAAGGAACAGAATGAGTTTTAGTCAGTACGAGTCCAACCCACCTCCAAGTTATAGAAATTCCCCACTCAAAAATACTTTTCACCGAAATCTCACTATATTGGTGAAGATCAAACAAAACAATATCTTGTGGTTTTTGAGTTTCTGGGGTTCATACAGGCAGGGGCGACATACCTACATATATATATCTTTTTAAAATATGCTTCGACTGTTTTTTAACCCGCAGAAGACAATAACTTAAAGATTTCTCATACACCGCCATCGAGGTAGTCATTACACAACAATAATAATAATTACAAAAAATATAATAAAACTCCTACATAAAAATAAACTCAAACATGTAGTAATAAAAGTTTGTACTAATCAAACAAAGCCACGTCGACACCGCACGAATAATCTGTTGCTATAAAATTACGTACGCATGTTTACTAGCTTAAAATATAACCAACATTCATTTGTATTATTAGATAACTTTATATGAAAATGTAATGTTTTTGAGTTTGTATGTTCGTAAATTTTACAAAAGTTTTGCAGAGTCTAACCATTTATTTCAATACTCAATACTCAATTCTTTATTGCATTCAAATATGTGGGTCTAAAATATATAAATATCATTCCCACACCGCCAACTACGAGTAAGTGTTGTAAGTGCCAGACATTTGTTAGGTAACAAAGATGGACCCTGTAGGGCACAGCAAAAGACATAATATAGTATAACAAAATGTGTATGTGTTTCAATTAGACTACTGAGTTTACTTTTATTAAAGGTCAAACAAAAGTTTAAAGATAAAAAGTGTCAGTCTATCAGTCTGTCCTTTAGTGAAACTATTTTTTCGTACCGGATAAATATTGTCGATTCAGATGGAGAAGAACTCCATGGTTCCTCTTTTATCCAGCACAACCTTTATTAGTATTTACGGCAAATTATCAAACGACCAGAATCAGACTCAGACCCGAGCTTACGGCGCGTAAAGGGCTGATATTTAGCTGGGGCACCTCGGCCTAGAGCAGGAGAAGAAACTATATTTTATTCTAATTAGATGCGTGGTTGATGTTTTAAAAATTGATATGTCGGTGAAGCTAGTCATTTCAATACCCACAAATTTGAGCTAAACAAGACAATACTCTGCGAATACTCTTTCCGTCGAGCACAATTTTCCATATTTGTTACTCTTTGCTATTACAAACTTAATAAAAACTCCGTGTATTTAAGGTCTATTACACATAACGTAGCTCAACGCAGGAGGCCTTCACATTTATAACATAGAAAAAAAATGGTCTATATGGTAGATGGAATGGTAAAAATTTGTTATCCAATAAAATAAAATATCATAATAAAAAATGTATCCTGCATCTACATCCTCAATACTCTGAAAGATCGCTTTACCATAAGATGATCTGTCTGTTCTTTTACCAACCTATGCCATGAAGAATATCTTATCATTGTTTTGATAAATAAAATTACTTATAAAAATATATTTTATAGAGAATATTAATTAAAATAAAAAACGAATACAACTAATTTATAAATCAAATAATGTTTATAATAATATGCGCGTTTGAATGTAACTGTCTGATGTGTTATAGATATTTGAAGCATACTCTTTTCCATACCTCTTGGAAATTGGTTGCATTTTTATCTTAGTTTTTATTTTGTGAGCAACACTACCGCAGGCGGGATCATTACCGCCAATTTCCAGCCGGGGTCGCAATAAGGATATTTTGTGCTGGGTCGGCAAACGAGCAGACGGAATACCTGATCTGAAGCAATCAGCGCCACCCATGGACTCTCGCAACAACAGATGAGTTACGAGTGCGTTGCCGACCTATTGGGGATTAGGGATTGGGGAGGGAAAGAACTGGGCCTCCGGTAACCTCATTCACACGGCGAAACACAACGCTGTGGTTGTTTCACGCAGGTTTTCTTTGAAGCCGTAGTATCACTCCGGTCGAGCCGACCGATTCGTGGTGAAGAATGACTCTCCCCCTCTTACGTTAGTACGGCGGGATCAGGATCAGGATCAGGAGAACGAATAGTGTGGTTATTAGTCAGTAAGAGTCCGTCACTACCACTCGCCCCACCCAGAACGGTAGAAGACATTGGAAGATTGTCAACTCTCCAGAAACGAGAGATGATCTCCAGCCAACGTAAGCGCGGGTCCGCGGATGGCGAGTAAGCGTAGCTCGCCGCCCGACCAGAACCAGACCCGAGCGTACGGCGCGTAGCGTTCCGCGCGCGCCTCAAAGAGCCAATGGACCACCACAGACGGGGCCCTATAGGGCTGATATTCAGCCGCGGTTGCGGGTTAAGCGCAATAAGTCACCGCGGCCTCGGCCCTTAGAGCAGGAGAAGGAACGGGGGGGGTTTTTAGCCAGTAAAAGTTCGACACTCTCTCTCGCCTTACCTTGGGCGGGAAAAGGCACTTGATGCTTTACCACGAAAAAAAAAATACAATATAAAAAAAAGCTTCTATGCTTAACATACCTTAACGTATGTTAAAGATTGCAATTTTTAACAAGCAAATACAGGTATCGATATATGTCTTAAGTATCAGTTAAGAATGAAATAGGGTGAATGCTCCTGTTATCGGTCGGACGGCAATACGAATAAATAATTTTAATTATTATATATTAAGTTACAGGAATAACTTTATCGATTACTTTATTGACCTTATAATTAATTGTTACATCATTTTATATTTTCATTGACCCAATGAATCAATGGAAGTTGGATTTTTTTTTGTAATGATGTATTGTATTGATTTATGATGATGTAGTGTTTCATTACATTCTGCACAGCAGTTTAGGAATAAAACCATCCCAAGCGTTGTTAAAATTAGCATTTATGATTCTTATACTTAACTTACTGAGAAAAATAAGTAAAATTGAAATTGAAATTGCAGCTGAAAAAAAAATTAACACTTGCAGTTAAAAAAACTGTATACTTATGACGGACAACTCTTTTTTTTTATCAATAAAATTACGTAATATATATTTTTCTTATTTCATTTATTACGATTCTTAGGTTCACCATTAAGAAAAATATTCATGTCAAATAATGCGCAGCATAGTAAACAAATGCTCGCATTTCACTGCAGGCGTCGTTTAATCAAGGATCAATTTCAATATCTAAGAATCTAATTCTTTAGAGGATTTCTTTAGGTGAATATAATCTATAATGTTTATTTATCTAATGACTTTCCTTGTAACAATACTAATATAGTTAGATTTCTTTACAAAAAACAATTTCACTATAAATACAAATTAAAATCGGATACCGTTTATAGGATTCTTCGTATATCATAAGCTCAGAATCTGTATTCTGAGATCATAAGTTAATAATGGTGAAAATTCTTTAAACATAAGATAGGATTGAATCATAGAAGGATTTTTTTAAGAAAATCTTATAGACCATATTGGAGTGACTTAAACAGATGAATAATTGGGCTATGCAACTAGATAATCTTAGCTGGGTTTGCGGGACTAGCGTTATAATGTACCGCGGCCTTGGTCTGGAGAAGGAGAAAGAACAGGGTGGTTCCCAGTAAGAGTATAACCTTCTTTCTCGTCTCCCACCTAGGGCAAAAGAACACACAAAACTAGGTAATCTTCGACTATACCCAACTGAACTCTTGCCAATATTGGCTAAAACACCAAACATCCGATCCTTCATTTCCCAACCCATAAACGATAAGGACTAACAACTTTACTTATTGAATAATAAGATAACGAGGAAGACAATTGTGGCATGCGCCTTACTCTCGTTTGCTCGCCAGCGTGGCAGCAAACAAAACACAAGATTGTAATGATCTTCTAGTATTTAGTTGCTTATAATTTATAGAAAGCATCCATTCAATGATTAGCCAGAGAAATTAGAACGCGTGTGTGTGTTAATAATATTTTTTTTTTATTTTCAAATATGGAAAAGGAAAAAGTGAGGACTAAGGAGCTTTTAATTCAAGTTTTGGCCACTGCTATTAGTGAGTTGTTTTTTTTTTTATTTATTTTACGACTGTTTTTGTCTTTTTTTATTTATAATTTATGATTCGGGATTGTTGTTGATATTTTTTTATTGAATTGTTCATAAAGATTTTTTGGAAAATATAATTTGTAAACGTAACCGTCAATATTGTTTAGTTTGGTATCGGGGGATTGAAGGTGTTTTTCTTTTTATTAAGGGACTAGTTGTGGGGTAAATTATATCTTATTGACTGTAATATAAGGATTTAATTGCGATAGTAACCATGTTTTTGTAGGATATTTAGATGCGTGAATTAATAAAAAGACAAAGGCACGACGTTAAATTTTTTAATACTAAAGAAACCTTGAGCATTTATATATTAATAAAATATAATTGTTAAGAAAAAGCTAGTAATATATTTTTACTTAGATTTCATGAAATCTGATATATTTTTTTCATTTGGTGTAAGGCATTCTTCTTTGTAATCTGATATACTTGATTGTATTCTAAGTTTCTGTCTAACAGAAACCTTACAAACAAATTTGTTAACAATTATTGAAATCGTAAGTGAAAAAATATAAATTTATTTTTTAATTTTCATCCAGTAACAATAATCGCAATTTCAGTAATTAATTTTAAAATAAATTTATCGTGTGTTCTAAGTAATACTGAAGAAATAAGTTAGCTTTCTGACGCCAAAGAGATGTGTAAACGAAATATAATCTCGTACAAAATAAAAATGAAACTGTCGCTTTATTTGTTTATTTGGCAATTAGAATTAGGTATTAATTTTGATTAGTTGTGCCTAATTCGGAGATAATGCGATACTATTAATGCTCATAATAAAACAAGTGTCGTCATTGATTAGTAATAATAGTATTTTGTCCTTATTTGATTAGATTTAAAATGTTCTTTTTCTTAGAATAGAAACTATCAACAAATATTTTACTACTAGCGGCCCGCCCCTGCTTCGCACGCGTCTCCCACTATCTCATTAACGACTAAAGTGGGGGATCTGGGAAATAGGGGCCTATTTAGCAGATCCCCCTCTAATTTTCTATAATTTTCTTTCATAAGAACGTTCACCTGACCATAATAAACACATCAAAAAAAATTGGCAAAATTGGTCCAGGCCTTATGAGTTATGCGATTACCAACACATTTTGCGATTCATTTTTATATAATTATATATAGATGTCAGGATATACTTATGCTAGATAGACTTAAATATATTAGGTTATTTATATGAACTATTTGCGACATAATTTATCGAATACTATTTGGATATGAGGGTAGTGAAACTAAAGGGTAGTAGTTAGTACGTCCCGCGACAATTCGTATTTTTTTATTCTTTATTTTGTTCGCTTAGTGGATCAAATCCCAGGGTTCTAAATCTCCAGCCGGGGTTGCGGGTTAACCGCAATAAGTCACCGCGGCTTTGGCCCAGAGCAGGAGAAGGAACGGGGGCATTTTTAGTTAGTAAGAGTCTGACACTCTTTCTCGCCTTACCCTGGGCGGGAGAAGTCATTTGATGATGTTCCCCTGACAAAAAAAAAGAAAATTTCGGAACGAATTTATACTGTCTTAAGAAATATGCGAAATTTCAGTCGAAATTTCGTTTTTCGTTGAATAAGAGTAGACCATCAGATCTCGTGATCCTTAAGTACAAACCTTACGAAGGAACAATTAATTAGTATTATCATTAAATCTCCGTACATACGTATGTATGCTTGGCGTCAATTTTAACTCAATACTATAAAACACGTGGTTTTGTTATCATTTATTTACTTAAACATATGTATATGCAGAGTAAATAATGTATTGTTTTAATATGATAGGTAGTAAATAATATATACTTATACCGAGTTATTTCCTTAAACAATTCAAGTAGTAAGTGGGCATAATTTATGTATGCTGGGGTTGTAAATGCAAGCATAGCCGGGGTAGCAGATTTTCCGCAAATATGTCCCTAAGCGCAATAATGGCCCTCAGCTCGGGGCAAGAGCAGGAGAAGGAGCGGGGTGGTTTTTAGTCAGTAAGAGTCTGACACTCACTCTTCTCCCAGGATGGGAGAAGACAAGAAGATTTTCACCCCTCATAAAACAAAGCATAACTTATAAAGAAGGAACTTGATGATAGATTGAAAGAAAAAACTTGGATCAAGTTAACGTCATATCTAGATTTTGCCATTATTAAATAATAAATATGTGGAACAAATTATGAAACGAGTGGAATGAAATTAAGAAGTCCAATAATCATGTTTTGGTGCGATGTAATTTTTGTTTTATTTTGTGGGATTAAAATCATTAACAGACTTCTCCCGCTCGCAGTGGGGCGAAAGGAATGTTAGACTGTTAGACTCTTACTGACTAAAAACTAGTGAGGCCATTTGTAGCGGTCTGTTTTTGTGCCAAATACTCGGAATCCGTGGCGTTGAACATCTTCTTTAGCCTTTTTCTACCCTTAGGGTGTAGTCCTCCTTCAGTTTCTGCCATCTCTTTCGGTCTTAAGCAATTTGTATCCACTTCGTGCCAGCTGTTCATTTGATGTCATCGTACCAACGCCTCTGTGGTCTTCCTTGTGGGCGTTTTTCGCCCCAAGGTCTCCACTCTATAACGGCTTTGCACCACGAACCCTGTTTTCGTGCAACGTGGCCAGCCCGCTCCCACTTAAGTTTCGCAATATGCTGAGTGACGTCCTTGACTTTACTCTGCCGGCTTTGGCGTTGAACATATTTATTAAGAAATATTAATAATATATGTTCTTTCCTCTCTTATATTAGTTCTGGAACACTGTGTCCTTGCTTTGCACTAACCGCATGATTCCTCTACACTACCCTAAACTTGACTGTTAGAGAATGCCTTAGGACATTAAGTCCGCCATTTACACTGTTTTGTGTTAAGAAGAGATAAATAATGTGCTTTATTTTCTTTTCCAGTATGTTTCCAAGCATGCCTGACTGGATTTGTGGTATCATGGCCTTCCTATACAGTGGGCAACTTTATGTCCAACGAAACAGTCTTGTCCAGACCAATGTCTTCATTAGATGTGTCACTGTTGGGTAGTTTGCCCAACATTGGTGGACTTATCATCAGTCCCTTTTGTGGATACGCCTTTAACACTTTTGGAAGAAAATATGCTACTATATTGTTTACGCTACCTTATATTGTAAGTATAATTTATTATTTTTTTGGTAGAATAGCAGTGCTTCTTTCTCCTACCTGTTTCATAGGCATGTTCATAAAAAAACTACCACAAACATCACAGGCACGGGGACAGAAAAGTGTCGGAATTAAAACTTTGGTAAAGTAGATTATAGATCATATTCAAAAACCATATTAACTCAGTCCGCAAAATTGACCAAGGTATTGTCTAACTTAAAAATACATAGTTTCGACTAGATTTTCTGCAAATGTAGATTAAGAGCTGTGTAATATAATCGATTATTAAGCTGTTGTTGTAATAACTACCGTAATACATTTTGAATTTATTGGAAACACTTGTACTAGTTTCAAGCCAGGTTGTCGCCGTGGCGTCGCTAAGAGACCGCCAACCGCAATTCCTAGTAGTTTTCTTCAGTTGTTTCATGTAAATAATAAGCCGTTACTTTTAAACGAAGATTGTGCGTTTCATATTTTGTCATTGTTGTACAGAATTAATTATTATAATTTTTATATTATTTTTCATAATTTTATTACTTCATCACTTATATTCACTGGTAATAAATTATATTTATAATCCTGAATTATTGACTAACTTTAAATCTAATTGAATATTTTTTGACATGCTATATTTCGTTTATTGTTATTGGATCTTGTTTTCATTTCGTTTATTAAGTTTTTGTGTAAGTTTAATTTTTATGCGAATGTTGTGCACATCTGTTATTGACACTAACACTAGAATAAGATCTATAAAATGTAAAATAACCGTGTTTGTGTTTGTGTTGTTGATGTGCCTTAAATAAATAAATAAATAAAAGTATTTGACTCTCTGATAACTAAGATCTAATTGGAATTTAACATACAATGTATACATATTGTGACGGAAAAGTGGTTCAAACTCTTTGACATCATGACGTCAATGGATGGTTGTCAAACGTTGCCTAGAGATTGTAAATTTCGTCGTGAATTGTCAACACGAGTTGGTGTAATCGGTAAGGCGTGTGGATTACACCACAGAGACCCCGAGTTTGAGTCCCGCCGTAAACATGAAGTTTTTTAGTTTATAGAAGTTTTGTCGAACTTTCTGGAATTATTTGTGTGAAAGAAATGAAAAATTAAAGAGCGAGAAGGAGAATAAATAAAAATGAATAACGAAATTATTGGAAGGTTCTGGAGGCATGACGATCAAAAAGAATAACGAAATTGAATGTTCCAGAACCTGACCGGGGGTATATAAGCGGAACTGCGGCTCACCGCTGGCAGTTGAGTTCTAAGTCTAAAGCGATTCGGAAGAAAAGGAAGAAGTGAGAAAGAAGAAAAGTGAGTGAAATAGTGAAGTGCAGTGAAATAGTGAAGTGCAGTCAGTTAAATGAGTTAAGTCAGCGTGAACGGCAAAGTTGTGTCAGTCGGCCGGACTCTGCTGGAGAGGAACGCCGATAACTTAACTCCGTGGACGCTGTAACTTAAGTGCAATAGAAAGTCTGAAAACCGGTATTAGTGTTTCATTTCATCCAATCCCGTAACCCAAGCCCGCATAGTCAGGAACGTGACGTCAGGCACGTAACATTTGGTGTCAGAAGTGGGATTGGAGAAAAATGCCGCTAGTGCCGCAGGACGTAAGAGGAGTGAGTACCCGTTCAATGTCAGAAGCGCAGCGTGTGAGGGGAGAGGGTGCTGCAGCTCAAACCAGCGATGCAGAAGCCAAGCCTGTGCAGGTGGATCTTCTGCTACAGCTGCAGCAAATGATGGCAGAGCAAGCGCGCCGCCAAGAAGAGCAAGCGCGCCGCCAAGAAGAGCAAGCGCGCCGCCAAGAAGAGCAAGCGCGCCGCCAAGAAAAGCAAGCGCGCCGCCAAGAAGAGCAAGCGCGCTGTCAGGCAGAACAGCTGCGGGAGCTGAAAGAAGAGCAAGCGCGCCGCCAAGAAGAGCAAGCGCGCCGCCAAGAAGAGCAAGCGCGCCGCCAAGAGGAGCAAGCACGCTGTCAGGCAGAACAGCTACGGGAGCAAGCACACTGTCAGGCGGAGCAGCTACGGGAGCTGAAAGAGATGCATAAGGATTTCACGAAGGGACTGCAAAAGGCTGTCGAACGGGTACAGGAAGTGGAGGAAGGGTTAGGCAAGTTGGAACATCGCGTTATGGCCATAGAGGAGAGAGTGGAAGAAGAGATCTCCAAAATCAAGCAGGAAATGACAAGCCCAAGCCCTTTGAAGAGCCGAAGCCGTCTTGCAGCCGTTTTTGACGCCCCAAATGCGGCCTCGAGCGCAACGAAAGGGCTCAAGATTCCCCATTACGACGGAACAACATCCTGGACCGCGTTCAAGCTACAGTTCGAGACACTTATGGAGGCTTATGGTTGGACTCAGAAGGAAGCACAGTCAGCCCTCACCCTGGCCCTCCGTGATCAAGCGCTCTCAGTGCTGGAAGCTATCGGCACAAGTGGGGATCTCAGCTTTAGTGCCCTCCTCGACGCACTGGAGGCACGTTTTGGAGACAGCCACCTCGAGCACGTGTACAGAGCGCAATTAAAAGAGCGTACTCAGCGTGCTAATGAGAGCCTACAGCAATGGTCCGTGGAAATCGAGAAACTTGTGCGTCGAGCTTTCCGGTCGACTCCGTCAATGATTGAAGGCACGCTTCTCCAAGCATTCATTGACGGTATTCGGGACCCCGAAGTACGAGCTGCTGTTCATCTGGGCCATCACAAGAACATGAAAGAAGCTCTGGCCCATGCATTGGAAGTGGAAGCCGTGCGTGGCAACCCCCGTACCTTAGGTCTGCGGGAAATGACGACAACGGAGCAGGTACCTCCACGCCGTCGGAACTTCATGTGCTATGGATGCGGAGAGCGTGGGCACATACGGAGCGACTGCCCGAAGAAGATGAACCGCCAGGACGCGGCGGTCTCAACTTCTGACCAGCAGGGAAACTTAAATCCAGCCAAGGCTGCGGGGTGGGCGCTGGCTGGAAGTGGAACAACCCCAACAATCTACATCAAGAAAACCAACGATGGAAATACACTGGTGATAGACGGTCAAGTAAATGGGAAAAACAGTCAGCTAACATTAGATACTGGAGCTTCAAGGACGGTGATAAATGTTCGGCTGCTCGAGCACAACATCAGGAAACACCTTAAACCAATTGTTGGCCTACAAATGAAATCAGCTACCGGCCAGTGCATACCGATAAGTGGAAAACTGCATGTAACAATCAAAATTGGGGAACGTGTTTATCGACATGAGGTTATTGTGGCCAAAATTCTGGATGACTGCATCCTGGGACTTGACTTCCTGCAAGGGCACCAGTGTAACATCGACCTAAAATCTGGAGTATTACTATGTGGAACTGAGGAAATTCCGATGAAGGGTGGAACCCTGGGAAAAGTTTGCTGTTTAAGAAGAACTGTTCTTGCACCAAAATCACAGACTCTCGTACCAATTGCATTACCTAGGAGGAGGGAAGGAAGTTTACCTCGAAGGTGCGCTGTGATTGATAAATCGGAACACGTAAACTCATGGCTACCGGCAAGAACTGTCGTGGGGTCATCTGATGTCAACCGCATTCCGGTATTCAACTTCAGTGATTCAAAAATTACGATTGAAGAAGGAGAGCCTGTGGGCGTATTGGAAGAAGTGGCCTGGACAAGAAAATGCTCGGAAAATCTTGTGAAGAAGGACAGTACGGGAATAGACTTTGTAACGAAAATCTTAGACGAAAACAAAAGTCTGACAAAAGTGGAGACTATGAAAGCTAGAAATTTACTTCTTCGATTCTCTGATGTGTTTTCAAGAAGCGATGGTGATATTGGCCGAACTGGTTTGGTAAAGCATAAAATAAACACAGGTGATACAATGCCAATTCGTCAAAGGCCCAGACGTATACCATTCGCTCGTGAGAAAGAGGTTGAACAAATGATTGACGATATGAGGAAAAATGACGTGATAGAGCCCTCTTCTAGCCCTTGGTGTTCACCTGTCGTGCTTGTCAAGAAGAAAGATGGTTCAACGAGGTTTTGCGTAGACTATCGACGATTGAATGATGTAACCAAGAAGGATAGCTACCCGTTACCAAGAATCGATGACACACTTGACACACTGAGTGGCATGAAATGGTTTTCAACGATCGATCTGAAAAGTGGCTATTGGCAGATGGATTTGGATCCCAAGGACAAGGAAAAGACCGCATTCTCAACTGGGAAGGGACTCTGGCAATTTAAGGTGATGCCATTTGGATTATGCAATGCACCGGCAACCTTTGAGCGTTTGATGGAACAGGTGCTGGCGGGACTGCTGGGCGAAACCTGCCTAGTTTACCTCGATGACATCATCATTGTTGGACGGGATTTTGACGATCATCTAAGAAAATTGGAAAAGGTACTCGACAAGCTGCGTGGAGCAAATTTAAAGTTGAGTCCAAAGAAATGCTCTTTCTTCAAGCGCGAAGTGAATTATCTAGGACATGTTATTTCTGAGAGAGGAATTGAGACTGATCCAGCCAAGACTGTCGCTGTTAAGGAATGGCCAACACCTAAAGACAAAACGCAAGTTCGGGCATTTCTTGGATTGTGCTCGTATTATCGGCGGTTTGTGAAAGGATTCTCGGACATTGCCAAGCCTTTGCATCGATTGACAGAGGAGAAACGTGCCTTTATCTGGGACGAGGATTGTGAGCAAGCCTTTCGAAAACTAAAAGAACGGCTTTGTAACACACCAATTCTCGGATACCCCAGCGCGAAAGGAATATTCATAGTTGATACGGATGCCAGCAATATTGGAATAGGAGGTGTCCTTTCACAACGCGATGGTGAGCAGGAGAAGGTTATTGCTTACTTCAGCAAGTCACTATCTAAGCCGGAGAGGAATTATTGCGTGACCAGGAGGGAATTGCTGGCCGTAGTCAAAACTCTGCACCATTTCAAGAAGTATTTACTGGGACGGAAATTTTTGATCAGAACTGATCACGCTGCTTTGAAATGGCTGCTTCAGTTTAAGGATCCCGAAGGCCAAGTAGCCA